TTGTAGTCATGGAGAGATTGGCGAGTTGATCAAAGTCAAGGCAGCAAAGTTAAAAAATTATCAACGAGGAACAGGAAGAGGAGGTCCATCTCCAGCGCCTCTCCTGAAATAGAGGAGAAATTAATTGCTTTGATAGATATAGAATCAATAGAAAATTATATAAATATATAAGTTATATAATAGATCCTGCAGAGGTAAGTACTTGAATGTAATCATCTATTAATAAATCTATTAATAAATCTATTATATATCTATTAATAAATTATTTACACATATGATTCTTATGTTACCTATTTTTTTTGTATTTTTATATTTTTTTTCATTTTTTTTTGTATAGTCACGAAGTTAAACAAGACAGTTTGTATTAGCAGAATATGAAGACAACATAGTTTCCTCTCAATCTCTATCTGCATTTTGATCAAAGTGTCGTACAAATATAATAGATCCTGTAGTAGTGGATACTATTGACTCTTACTATTTATTATAAAATTATTTACAAATATTCTTATATTTTACAAATATCCTTGTATTTATATTACAGCATCAAGTCAACTTGCTTCCACTTCAATTTCTTCCAGTATCTACAAATTTATCCAAACCTTGTATCAAGAATAGAGATTTATATATCTTCATCCATTTCTCGGCAAGAAATTACTCCGCTCACTTCTAACTCTTCTCCGGATACAGTATCTTCATTATCTTCATCCATTCACTTACATTCACTTCTCAATTCTGTGAGACTTCAACAATATCTAATAAAGATATATCGACAAAATGTCAGAAAAAACAAGGATCTATAGAAATTAGTTATAAGAATTATTTATAAATATAATACTTACAATTATATTAAAGCATCCAATTAATCCCTGTTTCCACCTCTCTCAATCTCCTCAATCTCTTCTAGTATCCACGTGTTTATCAAAACTCAAGACTGTCGAGAATATTCGTGCATGTTATTCTTTAAATTAAGGTAGGTGCCCAGGTAAATAAAGTTTTGCACACACTTGAAGCTGTATCCGGCCATGGAGATGCACCTATCAGACCGTCTTTTTGCATTCCCAGTCATTCTAAAATTTTGTTTTGCTCTCATTAATTATTAATCCTAAATCCTTTATTCTTCTTTCTAACTTGCAAAGGTATTAATCACGCTTCTTAAGGATCTTACGCATATTGTCACATCATCGGCATATGCCAGTATTTGGTAGGATCTGATCATAATATTTCCTCCATTGTATAAGTTCTTTATTGCATGGTGCAATATTAGGTTAAAGACAGGGTTGTGAACAGCTCGTCTCTCTCCTTGCCTTACTCTTGCTCTTATCTCATCCTTTGTCGTTATTCACTGTATTAGCACTTTAGCCCTTGTGCCTTTCAATGTCATTAAGACTAAATATATTAACTTCTTAAGTATCTTAAATTCGCTAAAGATATGATATATTTTACCTCTATCTAAGGAATCAAATACTTGTTTAAAGTCCACAAACAACATATGTAGATCCACGCCATACTCCATGCACTTCTTCATATTTTGTCTAACGGTGAATATGTTTATTGTGGATCTGTTTGGTCTAAAGCCGCACTGATAGTCCGATCGTCCTCCGCATATTCCTCTGCTGTTGATGAGCTTTGATAATATCTTGTATGTCGTATTAAGCAAGATTATGGGCCTGTAATTAGCACATTCTGATTTTGATCCTTTCTTATGTATCGGGACTATTGTTCCACTCTTCCACTTTTCCGGTATTGTTTCTGATTGCCAAATTTTTGGATGAGATTGCATATCCTAAGCTGGCATTCTCTGTCGGCATTTTTCAGAAGTTCTGTTATTGTGTCCTCCCCAGGCGCCTTTCCGCCTTTCATATTTCGTAGCGCTTGAAATATCTCATCGGACTCAGGAGGCGCGAGTCTCGCTTCTTCTTTCACTTCCTCATCTTCATTCAGCATAATTTCCTGGTCAGTCCGCAACTCCTCTTCATTAAATACATTCTTAAAGAAGTCTCTCTACCGGTTTATGATTTCTTCATATTCCGTTGACATCTCGCCCGCATTGCTTCTGACGTTACACAACCGGAGTTGGAAACTCTCTCGCTCTCGTCTGATCTTCTCATACATTTCTCGCACCCCATGCAAGGAATGTCGTTCACTTATCTGTTATAGTCTTTTATTCATTGCGTTTTTTCTTCTTGATTCTGCATATCTTTTTCGCTATTTTCCTCTTCTCATTGTATTCCTCTTGCATTCGTGTAGTACGCCGCTGCAGCAACCTTCTTCGTACTATATTTCTAACCTTCAGAGCATCCGCACATCCTAGTCAAATCATTCTTCATTACGATCATGTTGTTTTTCCGCAATTATTTGATTAGTAACATTAGTTAGTTGCATCTTCAATATTATTCCACTCATTTTCTATATCATTTGACTCATTGTCATAAGTTACCATTGTCATAAGTTACCATTGTCAGGTTTTCAGCTATTTTTGTTTGATATTTTTTTACATCTTCTACGCATTTAAATTTTTCTATATTCCACTTTGTGCGTCTATTTCCTTTATTCTTTGCTGCACTTTTGCCTTATCCTTATTTTTACAAGACAGTGATCGCTGTCGCAATTTGCACCTCTGCATGTTTTTATGTTTAACACACTGGATTTCTTCCTTGTATTCACTAGAACATGGTCAATTTGCTGTTTCGTCTCCGGGTATTTATCAGGTATCCTTGTGAATATCTTTACGTTAAAAATCGGTACTTATAATCTTTAATAAGAGC